CAATTTTGTATACTGTATAATGACCATGAAAATATATTTATAGTAACTTTAGTCACATTTTTATCTATAAATTTAATTTAGTACTCGTAATATTTTTAAAAAAACTATATTATTTATTGATATGTATCTTACACAAAATATTAAGATAATTATCATCTTTGGATTTGAATTGTTGGTGAATTTGGAGATTAAGGGCATGTTTACTAGCAGAGATATTTTTCAGTTTCTATTTCTGTTTTAGTGTTTTCTGTTCTCCAATCTTCTGTTTTCATTTTCCTGTTTTTCTATCCCCAATTTTCTATTTTCATTTTTTAGTTTTCCATTTTCAAATCTAAAAACATGCCCATCAAATTTTTTCACCCGATTCTGTGACCGACCAAAAAAACAAAAGTACGGTCCCAGTCCCGAACCCAACCTAGTACACCCCAACTAGGGTACCAGGTCTACGTATAGGAATGTCAGATTGAAACCGGCCGGTCCCGGTCGATCTCAACAGTTAGTTTGAAGAATTCTTTTCTCATTTCCCTATTGGTTGACAACTCAACGGCTCTTTTAAAACTCTTCACATTAAAAAAAGATTTCATAAAATCGAGATTGAACCGCTGGGTCATTGACCGGCTCGGACAGGATCTGCCGGGTCATTGACAGGACTGGCCCGGGACCGCCCGGTTGTCTATTGTTGATCAGACAAGACGGGGATTGCCGGGTGGTTGACCGGACAGGACGAGGATCGTCGGGTCGTTGACCGGACCGTACGGGGATTGCCGAGTCATTGAACAAACCAGATCAGACCGAGACTGCCCGACTGTCTACCGGATCAAACATGTACCACCTTGCCATGGATCGGACCGAACAGGGACCGTCGAGTTGGTATAACCAATTCTTCAGGAAGATATGGAACAGTTCGAAACGGTTCGGTTCAATACGGATATGGGACGGTTCTGGGATGGTTCTTAATTAAGAAGCGGGTACCGTATTATTAAAAAAATTCGGTACGATACGGTATTATATTTTTCCGGTTTGTTCAATTCTAGTACAGTTAGGGACGGTTCTTGGTACGGAACATGAAATCCCAAATCAGTGTTCAACCCTAATTTAAAACATTTTTCCCTTTCCAAAACAATAATTACTTCGTTAAAAAAAAACAATAATTACTTCGTGATAACATATCCCTCGAAGTGAACCTTTATGAACATGTGAAATGAGAGTCCTAAGCTATCATTACTTATAGATTTTGGTTAGTTTGTTTCTGTATCCACTCTTCTTTTTAGAAAACTTCCGCTTTAGGCAAGAATATGGTGTGTGTAGATACAATACGGAGTACTTCTTTCGTCCCACACCGTTTGGTTTTGACGAGTGAATGCCTTCCTGAGAGTATAAGAGCGGTAGGCTATGGTTCGATCAAAGCATACCTTTCTCGGCCTTTTGGCTAAGATCAAGTGTAGTATCTGTTCTTATCAGTTTAATATCTGATATGTGGGCTATTAGCCCACACGATATTAACTCAATTTTTTAGGGGAGAAGACCCGCTAAGGCAGCTTGCTGTCTGGGCTTTCATGTGTCGCCTTTGCGTTGCACTTCTGCATCGGCCTGGCACAACCCACCAATTCCAGTTCAAAAGTTTACGTTTTGATGGTTATTTCTCTTAAGATTAAACTCAGATAAACAAATGGTCTGTGTACGTTTTCTTCAATTATACTTTAATAGTTTAATGTAGTACGTTGTAATTAGTTTAAACATATATCGAATTAAAACATTTCTTACGAAGTTAGTTTCCATAACGTTATATCTCAAGTTTAATAAGAACAAATAAAACAAGGAAATACGTAGTTTATAGAGTAGGGAGCGTTTTAAATTAATTCTGTTCTTTTTGAAAATCAGAAGTAGAATAAGAATTGGTGTGTATTCCTCAAACACTCTAGTATCTGCATGCTCGCTGAAAGAAACAGTTTTGCGGAATTTCTTTTAGTCTCCTCATGAGTCATGTCTGTTAAGTTGGTGGGGCGGCTGGTCTGTTGAAAGGGTCTGACTAGTTTGAAGCATGTATACTTTCCTTCAAAGTTCAAACATTGAGTATTTGCACTCTTTGTGGTCATTTACCTCCCAACAAATATCAAATTAAATATGTTGGAATGATATATAAATTAAATGTAATTTATTTATTTTACAAATAGAATCACAGAATGTTTACTGCCCCCTCATAAATACTGAATATACTTGTTTTTCTAAACCCGGTATTGGTCCAAAAAGCCGAAGCCTTTTGGGATGAAGGCCAGGGTAATAGCCCAATATATTTTAGGATATTATTGTACCTTCCATATTATCATTGTGTTATAAATATACCATGAGGCTACCTTGTTTGGTAAGTCATTACTCCCATAACATTATACTCTCATATGGTATCAGATGCTCGGGTCTAACCCTACCTTCCTGATGGCTTTTTCTTCGGACTCTACTTTCACGATCGATGTACGGCAGCCAATTTCTTCTCAGGCACCGTCATCCTCTATCGAAACATCTGCAGCGCCAATCAATACCATGGCTGCGTAGGAGACTGTTTCCGAGGTGCCCGCATCTTCAATGGTGGCGGAGCTGCCGCATTCTCGGAGTACTTCTTCCATGCCGCCTTCATACTCATCCTGACCACCGCCGCTAACTCAACCGGCGTCCTCATACGCTCTTTTTAATATGCTTGAACCATTTACATGGGTTCCTTCACCAACGGTGCCTCCTGCGGTATTCTCGTCGACATCACTGCCTCCAGTTCAAAACCATCCCCTATTCGCCGGCAGTACACTCGCAGGGTAGCCTAGCACTTTTCCAATTATGCCCTCTTCCCCTGTTACTCGGCTATCGGGCTTCAGTCGGCCTACCCCTTACATGTCCCAGTTAGCGTCACAATTGACTTTCTCCACACCCAACATCACTAATATTGTGACTACACATCTTGATGCGGTTGAAGATTACCTTCCATGGAGGACTCAATTTGAATCTTTTTTTGTGTCACATGGCCTTCTTGGAATTGTGGATGACACAATTACAGCTCCTCCTATGTACACGTTGGATATCTCGGGTAGAGAGGTTATTAATTCTGAATATCAACATTGGCTTCGCATCGATCAAACCATCCGGTCTTGGTTGTTTGCTACGCTATCTCGGGATACATTGGTTGATGTATATGATTTGAAGTTCTCTTCTCAAATCTGGGTGCGCCTTCAAAACCGGTACACACATGCAAGTATTGCCCGCTCCATGGAACTCAAGCGTCAAATCACCCATGTCAAGAAGAAACCATCTCAAACTATGGAGCAATATCTTCCTAATCGAGGAGTGGACTGTGGGTTGGCCGTGGACTGTGTACTAGAAGTGGGACTGTGCAATGGAGTATCTATGGATGATGATGGGCTGGAGGGTGTCATACGATGGTCTGGAGGAGGAGAAGGAGAACTGATGGGTTCGGTTGTGTGGGGAATATTGTGGAGTGGGGAAGTCGTATGACTGGAAGGTTGATCTTGGAGCGTGAGGGGCGGGGAGGTCAGAGTGAGTGGGGAAACAAGATGCACTAAAGGAGAGGAGGTGGAAGGAGATCGGCTTACATTAGTGACCCTATAGGGAGATATGGTACGGGGCGGATGCGGGACATGAGTTTGAGAAGAAATTTCAGCATATGGAAACTTGTCCTCATGAAAAATGACATCACGGCTAATATAGACTCGGCCGGTGGTGGGATCAAAACAACGATATCCTTTGTAGTCGGACGCATAACCAAGAAAAACACAACGAATAGATCGAGGTGATAGCTTATTTGCCGTTGTGGCAATTTGATTAGGAAAACATTCACACCCAAAAACACGCAAGGAGTAGTCCGGTATTTTATTTAAAAGTTTATGATACGGACTAAAACCATGCAACACTGGAGTAGGAAGCCTATTAATTATGTACGTAGCAGCATAGAGTGCATCAACCCAAAATTGAGGTGGTAAATGCGCCTCAATGAGCATGGTACGAATTAATTCTAAAAGATGCCGATGCTTACGTTCTGCTACACCATTTTGGGCAGGGGTATCCGGGCAGGATTTTTGAAAAATGATGCCACATTTGAGAAAATGATTATGAAAAATAGTATTGTCAAACTCACCCCCACCATCGCTTTGAAAACATTTTATTTTACAATTCAACATATTTTCAACTAAGTTCTGAAAATGACAAAAATGAGTAAATACTTCAGATTTTCTACGCATGGGATAAAAGCAAGTAAAACGAGAGAAATCATCAATAAAACATACACAGTATTTGAACTGTAAATGAGAAAGAGCAGGTGTGTAATACCGTCCCCAAGCGTATTTAATTTTAAGTGAATATTGTATTTAACCCTATTGATTGGTTAACGAGTTTATGATGCTATGAATTTTTATTAATTCTTTTGCGGAAATAGTAAATTCGCACGTGGGGCCCACACCGGGAGCGCGGACCGCCCGATATTCCCGAGACCATATATTTTATTCATTTTGGTCTAGATAATATTTAATTGGTGGTGAATATCTCATTTGAGCAATGGAAAGGCCCAGAGTCGACCGATTGGCCAAAAGAGACCCAAATACCGGTATCGGTAATTTAACCGATAAAAGCCCGAAATGGGATTTCGGAGACCTATAAATTAAATTTGGGATATGTATATTCATTATAAGGGGTATAATGATTAAGAACGCATAATATATTTTATTTGACCCGATAAAATAAAATACAGTTAAAACAGTCCAAAAAAATACAACTTTCGGGACCAATTGTACACTTCTGGACAAAAGAGTTGACCTCCCACATGGGTGGGGGCCAACCCACGAATTTGGCCTCATTTTTCAACACTTTGGCCGGCTGGTGGGAATGGGTAACATGGGAGGGGGTGTTGAATTGATAGAAAGAGCATCAAACAAAAATGAGATGGACCCCCATCCATCCTCATTTGATCTTTGAGACAAAAGACTCTATCCTCACCCAACTCTCCCTCATCCCTGCGGCCAACACCCTCAAGCAAGAGCCAAGAAAAGTCCCCATCTTCCTTTCTCCATTTTTGAAGAAGCTCTAACAAGAAGGAAGCTCTAGGAAAAAGTTTAAGTTCCAAAAGTGTACAAAACTTGAGGAAAGGCTAGGTAATGACTTCATTTACCTTTTTCTCCTATTTTTCTTGAATATATTATTATTTGAGAAATTATGAAGAACCCTAGGATTGTTCTACATGTTGATAAATGTGGAACAAGGGGTTGGAAGGTGGTTCTATGTCCAAAAATGGATTTAGAAGCCAAACAGACAAGTTCACCGGAAAATAACCTTTTGGAGGTTATGTGTATTGATTAAGGTTTTATGATGTTAAAACCTTGTTAGGAACTTGATTTAGAGTATCTTTGAGCTTCGCCGGAGTTTCGCCGGAGTTGGTCAAAGTTCGCCAAAGTTCAATCGGGAAACGTAGATCGCACTTAAGCTCACTTAAGGTGAGGATGACCGACTATATTGCTTATAATCTTTGGGTTAATTTCATAAGATTTCCTAAAGGAATACACAATGTGATTTGCATGGATTATTAATGGTTAATAATGCCTAAATGAAATTACTATTGAATATAAGTATAGTTTGCATAATATACAAATTTATTGAATAAATTGTGTATGTTTATATGTTATGAATATGATGGCATGATAGTAGTATCAACCATAAATCCCATTTGTGATAAGTGTACTTTTATTTCATGAGAAGAAGCCATGAAAGAATAAAAGTAATATTTTGATATTAAGGTCAAACCACATATTGAATGAAGAACTACATTGAAATGAGTAAATAACTAGTATTGAAATATTAGTTGGGATTGTAGTTGAATAATGGATGAATGGATCCTAAGAAATTGAATTGTAAAGAATCGGTGATTATTGAGCTGGGCTCTAGACCGATGTAGATAACGGTGATTATTGAGCTGGGCTCTAGATCGTAATAGTTATCGGTGATTATTGAGCTGGGCTCTAGACCGATGTAGATAACGGTGATTATTGAGCTGGGCTCTAGACCGATGTAGATGACGGTGATTATTGAGCTGGGCTCTAGACCGATGTAGATGACGGTTATTATTGAGCTGGGCTCTAGACCGTAGTAGGTAACGGTGATTATTGAGCTGGGCTCTAGACCGTGATAAGAAATGATGAATTGACACTAAACGAACAAAGTTAATCATGAGATAATAACACCCTAGATTGAGGGTCTTGGAAATTGAAACATTGATTATACTTAGTATAGTTGTCATTGTACTTGTCAAATGCTTCCAAGTACTGACCTCCCCTTCACGGGGGAGGCCACCTCACAGTTTCAGGTAGAACTTGAAGGTTGCTACCAGTGCCGTTGCTCTGAAAGAATTTAGGAGAAGAAGACGTGGTTCGTGCTTCCTCTGTTCCTGTTTTAAAATCATTTAAATTAATGCTCATGGATGTTATCTTTTGAATAATTATTTGATGGCTTGTATGCCCATGTTTCGCCAAGTGTGGCTTGAACACTTGTTACATTACTTCCGCTGTTTTAAATGAATATTTTACATTATGGTTGTTTACGGATGAACTATGTGTGAATGGTATACAAGACGCCTTGTACAATATGGATGAGTTGGGCTGCGGTTGACTATTCGTATTGTACGGCGGGTTGTTGACGTGTCCGGTAGGTCCGGGGCGTGACAATTTAATTGGTATCAGAGACTTAGTCCGTAAACTTCATAATGAAGCTTCAAAATCTCTTTTTGAAAACGAATTTGAAAACCATGAGCATAAAAGTTTTGTACTTATAGAACTTTTGGTACTTGAGTTGCAAAGTCTCTAATTGTTAAGATGGTACCCTTAACAATTGGTATGACAGTGATTTGAGCCAAAGGATGTCTTTAAGTACCTATCCGTCACTTGACATTGATACGAGTCTAATGACTCATTCTACTTCCTTTCAGAAATGGAGCCAATCGGAAGGATCACTAGGAGGAACCCGACGGGCCGTGTACCGGGTGGATCCGAGCGCGGTAGCCGGGGGTCCTCTAGGGGATCAAGAGGAAGGGGCCGTGGAGGCCAACACCAAACCGTGAGCGATGGCCACGTCGAGAAGGAAAGTGAGACCTATTGGTCTTATGAAGATTCAACCTACCGGCCAGAAACGGAGCCGGTTGAGACCCCTTATGAAGGGGATGATGATGATGTGAGTGACGAGGAGGAAAGTGGCTCCTTGGCCAGGATTGAAGCGCTGCTCCAACAATACCACCGGGAGCGCGAGTAAAGAAGGGAACGCCGAAGACGCCGTGCGGGGCAACCTTCGGGTGGGGCTCCAAGGGGTAGGAGTTTTTGTGACTCGAGGACCCATGTAGAAGCGCATGGGAGTCGGGGTGATGGAGGTCCAACCATAAGGATCTCCAAATACATTAAAGAGGCGAGGGACTTGGGGTGCAAACCGTTCGATGGGACGGGAGACATCTCGGTTGCCGCACAGTGGATCAAGAGGCTGAACGAGGCATCCCTTGACATGCAACTCACCCCCGATTTCAAACTGAGAATCGCGGTGAGGCTACTTGAAGGGTTGGCATCCAAGTGGTGGGATGGAACCACGGGCAAGTATGGCGGGACTGTTACTTGGGAGGATTTTCGGCAAGAATTCTTTGCCCAATACTACTCTGACTTTGAGGTAAACGCCAAGGTGAGGGAATACACTCTTCTGACCCAAGGGGGGTAACATGACAGTGAAAGAACTTGAGCACAAGTTCAGGGACCTTGCTGATCACATACCGGAGTATGCTTGTGATGAAAACCGAATGGTGAATCACTTTTGGGAGGCCTTGGACCTGGAGATACGTGATAGGGCGACTCAATTGCCCAACATGACTTTCAGCCAAGTTGTTGCTCAAGGGTTGAAGGGAGAAAAGCAATGGGAGGAGAGGAAGAAGAGGGACGCCGAGGAGGCGAAGAAGAGAAAATGGGAGAACCATGGCCCCCAAGGTTCCAATAAGAAGGTGAACCATGGGGGAGGAGGATCATTTAGGGCACCGGCACCGCCGTCTAGGGGAAGCTCAGGCACGGGTGGACAAAACTCGGGGTCGCAAGCCCCAATGATGATTAGGTGCAGGAACTGTAACAGGAACCATGGGGGAAAGTGCCGTGACCCTCCTCGGTGCTACCAATGTGGAGACACGGGGCATATTAAACCAAATTGCCCTCAACTTGGTGGGAACCGAGGGGCGGGGTCTAGCGGCGCTACCACGGCGAGTAGGAGCCGAACCGGAGCACCCCAAGCTAGTGCAGGGCAAGGGGGGGCGAGCACGAGCAACGCGCCGTCCGTGAACCAAGGAAGGACTCAAGCTAGAGTCTACGCAATGACCGAGGCCGATGCTCGGGCCAACCCCGACTCCGTTGCAGGTAACCCCTTGTTCACTCTTGTATTATTCATATACATGTGTATTATAAGCTTTAGGGAGCATGTGCGGGTCAACCGGTGACGTTTCGGCTCGTTTTTAGCGGAAAAGATGAGTTAAACACGCCCAGGGACGAACCGGCGCCGGCCCGGGCTTGAACCGGCGCCGGCCTAGCGTAAAGCGTAGCCAAAACGAAGCTGGCAGTAGCTTACCCGGCGCCGACCAGGGGGGGCAACCCGGCGCCGGCCCGGAAAAATTTTCCGGAAGTGCTATCCAGTGGCTTACCCGGCGCCGGCCAGGGGGGCAACCCAGCGCCGGTCCGGGGAGAATTTTCCGGTTTTCGCTCCAGGGGATACCCGGCGCCGGTCCGGTGAAATTTTTCACTTTTCCGGTTCCAGTAGCTTACCCGGCGCCGGCCAGGTCCATACCCGGCGCCGGTCCAGTGTATTTTTACTCGAAAAATTTTCGTTAAGCCTCGTTTCGATCCGGTACGTTGAGTGGTGTGTCTTACATGACTTATATATGTAGGAACATTAAAGATCAATGGTAGAAACGCAAGAATTCTCATTGATACCAGGGCACAACGTTCATTCGTGAGTGAAGCGTTTGCCGAAAGTTTAGACATGCCGTTGATGGAAATGACACAACCCTTGTTGGTCTCTACACCGTTAGGAGACGATGTGGAGAGGAAACACTACTATCCTTCGTGTGGAGTAGAAGTGATGGGTCAACCTTTGACTTGTGACTTCGTACCTCTAAGTATGTTAGAATTCGATGCAATTCTAGGGATGGATTGGCTCGAAAAACATCATGCTCGAGTGGATTGTTATGCCAAGGTGTTGGAGACTCGAGGATACTGAGGGAAGCACTCTACGTTTCGAGGGAGATCGGGGAGGATCTCATAGTTGTATTATATCCGTGATTAGGGCACGGAAGATGATGAAGAAGGGATGCCATGCATACCTTGCTTATGTGGTGGACGAAGCAAAGAAGGAGGTTGACATCAACGATGTACGTGTCGTGTACAAATATCCGGATGTCTTTCCCAAAGACTTGCCGGGGCTTCCACCCGACAGGGAGACCGAATTTGTAATTGAAGTGGAGCCGGGAACCAAACCCATTTCGATTCCTCCTTATCGAATGGCACCGGCCGAGCTTCAAGAGTTGAAGGTTCAACTTCAAGAGCTATTGGAAAACGGGTTCATTAGGCCCAGTCATTCACCGTGGGGAGCACCCGTACTCTTCGTTAAGAAGAAAGATGGCACACTAAGAATGTGTATAGATTACCGACAGTTGAACAAGGTCACGATCAAGAACAGGTATCCTTTACCGAGGATTGATGACTTGTTTGATCAACTTCGAGGGGCGACAGTATTTTTGAAGATTGATTTGAGGTCGGGGTATCATCAGTTGAAGATAAAGGAGAGTGACATACCTAAGAGTGCATTTCGCACTAGATATGGTCACTACGAGTTTTTGGTGATGTCATTTGGTCTCACCAATGCACCGGCGGCGTTCATGGACATGATGAACCATGTGTTTAATGAATACTTAGATCAATTTGTGATAGTATTCATTGACGATATTCTAGTATACTCCAAAGGTGAAGAGGAGCATGAAGATCATTTGAGGCTTGTTGTGACACCGCACCCGAATGTCCTTGGAGATTTGATTTAGATATTCAAAGTTTATGTATTGGATTTTTGATTCCCGAACAATTTGTAAAACGATTAATGTTCTACGTAGTGCATGGTTGAATATCGTACTGTTCAAACTCGTACACTAGTGTCGGGTTTCGCAAATACTTATTCGGGACTTATTAATAAATAAAAGAGCCCAACATTACCTAAATAGTGATACATAATCCTTCAAGACAATTTGAGGAAGGTCGGGTGGCCCAAACATTATTTTGGGCCAACCTGCTAAAAATAGCAAGTGTTCGAGAATGACGTTCTAAACCCACTCGGGAGTGACCCACACGGCTAGTAGCCCAATAATACGTATGACAAATGTCAAATAAGTGATTGAATGATTAAGGAAGAATACAAATGCCTATAACCCCACCTTGGGCCTTATTGAGCTAAATAATGGGAGTAGGATTTTCCTTCTATAATATTCATCAAGTAAATTATTGGGATGAGCCTACACATATTGGAGATCAATAATGTGATTTAGGAAGTTGACTTGTTCTAAGTAAATTAGGATGAGTACAAAAAGACATTTTTGACAAAGATAAAACAATAGGACCCATCTTCCCATTTTTGGAAGTATTGGTAGATATTTTGGACCCCAAATTTAATGGGATCAATTGGGAACCACTCCACATGATATTAGTACCTGCAAAACAAATAAAAATGGGTTAGAAGACCTACCTTGGCCGGCCATAATGGAGGGGAGCTGCACATGACTTGATAGGAATCAAAGCTTGGGCCACCATCCTTATTTTCGCACAAATTGGTGTGCTGTTTGTCTCCTCTCATTATAGAAGCTATACTCGACCAAACAACGTGAATAATATGTCCTTGTATAGCCTTTGAAGTCTAGTATCTCAATTGAGTGGTATTTGTTAGAGGAGAGAAAGCTTATCTTACAAAAATCGAGCTGGAGTGAGTGGTGGTCTGTGAACTCGAGCTGTGAGAGTGCTGAGACTGTTTGGTTGATATCTCGAGTTATACCAATCCAATTAAGGCGTGTGAGATACCAAAAGAAAGCTCTCAAGACGAGGAATCCGTTAAGGTCTGGTTTGCATCAATCGGAGTAGAGGAAGGCTTCCAAATCGTCCGATCAGAACGCGACCTCGCAGGAACGGATTTACTCTTCTAAGTGAGTTGTTAATCCCAAAACCTTTCCTTTCATTTTCCAAATGATATGAACGATTGGTGGAACTATTGTACACTAATACAAGTGTATAATATGTCCTTGTGAAGTTATTTTATTGATGTAAAGGTTAGATACTAACCTAGATGCAAATATTGGAAAACTAGGAATCGAATTAGCCGGAAAACACCCGTTCTAGGGGCTGTTTTCGTATCAACGATTAGGGGTTGAAATAGCAACTTGAGGAGGCTGTTTAGCACCCATTTTCAAGCAAGGAACTAGTTCTCAATCTTCCTTGGCCGAGGCTTTGGTCATTGGATCGAGAAGGAAGGTTTTAAAGCTCATTTGAGGTGAGGACCGACATCTAGTTGCTTACAACTTGTAGGTTATGCATGAGATTACCTAAATGCTTAAATCATGTTTTTGTGAATAAATATGCTTGAACATGATATGAATGATAAGTAATGGACTTGATCATGAATTGAAACCATATTGATGAATATGGAGTTATGTGAGATAAAGGTATGTTAATATGGTAAAATGACCTTTCCAACTCATATATGAATGTTATGTGTATGTAAATGTATAGTTGCATGATGATGCTTAGCACATGGGAGGCTGCCACATATCTATTGATATGGAGGGGCTACCATTAAGAATAAATGAGTTGTAGGAATAATCTTAATAGTATTGTGATGCTAGTTAAGGATTGTTCTAAATGTTGATAGAATCAAACTTAAGGTTTGAGTTGTTTGTGATGAACTTGAATGAGATTCAAGTGTCAAGTGTGATATCATGGAGTAGGAGATCTATGGTGTGATTGTATGAAGTAGGAGATCTATGGTGTGATTGTATGAAGTAGGAGATCTATGGGGTGAATACATGAAGTAGGAGATCTATGGTATGATTATATGAAGTAGGAGATCTATGATGCGAGTGCATGATGATGTACTCGAGCCTAACTCTAGAAATGAGAAGTTATATTAGGGTTGGACCCTATGTATTGTCGTGACTATTAGTCACGGGGTTTGGGAAATGTTTTATAACAAACACGGGCCTTTGAGCCGACTACTTGACTTTATATAAAGTAAGTATGTATTTTGAAAGGGGTAATCTGGGATTACGGCCTATACTATATTATCACCCTATTTGAGGGTCTTGTGTGTGAAATACTTGTTGTATATCTATTAGATGCCTGCCACACCAGCACTTTATAGCCCTATAGAGTGCTGACCCCTTCGGGGGCGTCCCACCACCATTTTTCAGGTTGAGGCTAGAGCTTGCTTCCTGTGCTCGTTGCTCGAGAGATCATATAGGAGGGAAGACTTGGTTCGTGCTTCCTCCATTCTGTTTTTAAACATTAATAAACATGCTCATGGATATTTTACTGTAGAGCCTGCGTGCTCATGAATAGCCTTGTGTGGCCCTTTCGTTTTAAACAATGTTTTCCGCTGCGTTTCGAATTACTTATTATGTTTGTTTATGGATGTGTATGTGTGAATGATATTCAAGACGCCTTGTATATTATGAATGTGTTGGACTGCGGTTGACTATTCATATTGTACGGCGGGTTGTTGACGTGTCCGGATAGGTCCGGGGCGTGACACTTGTACTTGAACGGCTAAGGGAAAAACAACTCTTTGCAAAGTTCTCGAAATGCGAATTTTGGCTCAAAGAGATTGGGTTTCTCGGGCATGTCGTGTCGGGTTCGGGCATTGCAGTGGATAAGGCCAAGATAGAAGCCATTATGAATTGGGAGAGACCCAAAAATGTGAAAGAGATACGTAGTTTCCTTGGCCTAGCGGGATACTACCGTAAGTTTGTTGAGAAATTTTCCGTATTGGCGTCTCCATTGACAAAGCTCACGAAGAAAGGGGCCAAGTTCATATGGAACGACAATTGTGAGAAAGGCTTTCTCGAACTAAAGAAACAGCTTACGGAAGCACCAGTTCTCGCTCTACCCACACAAGGGATAGGGTATGACATATACAGTGATGCTAGCATCCAAGGGCTTGGATGTGTACTAATGCAAAACGGTCGGGTGATTGCCTATGCTTCTAGGCAATTGAAGAAACACGAGGCGAACTACCCTACCCACGATCTAGAGTTGGGGGCGGTAGTGTTTGCACTAAAGATTTGGAGGCATTACCTCTATGGGGAGACATGTCACATTTTTACCGATCATAAGAGTCTGAAGTATGTGTTCACTCAGAAAGAGTTGAATATGAGGCAAAGGAGATGGATGGAGTTGATCAAGGACTATGACTTGATCATCGACTATCATCCCGGAAAGGCCAATGTAGTGGCCGATGCACTGAGCAGAAAGAGTACGTCGGGGAC